TGTTGCTGGGCCCTGACGGGGGTTGCTGGGCCCTGACGGGGGTTGTTGCTGTGCCCGCAGTGGTTCCTCGGCGAGGCGGGCGGCGGGGAAGGCGCCGAGGGTCTGACGAGCAGCAAGTTCCGGGCGGACTGGGCCTACCGGCGACGGGAGTTTGAGGAATTTCCAGGGATTTTGCCCGGCCTGGATCGGCGGAAGTTGGAGGGATATAAATCGGCGTGATCCTGCAGTCCTGGTTTGTGTTGGAAGCACGGCAGCCCCACGGGCAGTGACCCGGAGAGGAGCTGCCCTGCTGGCCGAGCTGTGGTCAGGCCATGGCCAGTGACCGTGTTTGCAGCCCCCTCAGCCTGTTGTCACCCGCCCAGAAGTCACGGAGAAGTCGGTGTGAACTGGCCAGAAACGCTGCTCTGCCCCCAGGGCTGGTCCAGATCAGGTTTGCACATCTGCGCAGTTCTGTCATGCGCAGAGCTGGTGTTTGTGGCCGTGGATGTCATGGTCAGCCAGAGTTTGAAGCATGTGGATTTCCCTGCTCCTGAGGACAGTGTCCCACAAAGGCTGCCGAATCACTGGCAGCCACCTGGCTGCTCACCTTTCTCAGAGCTCCCCTGCTGCCAGGTGAAAGCTGACTGTAGTTGTCAGTCTCCTGACAGTTGGCTTATGAACCTTATCATCACCTCTCTGCTGCCTCCCCTTGCATAGCTGGTTATGTCTTTGGGATGCATATATGTTCCCCATTTCTGTTCCTGCCTGCTCCTAGACTCCATACCCACTACCTGCTCCCCGAGCCACATTCCTAATCATTGATGCTCCTTTGCCTCTCTAATCCTAGTTGCAGGATCTGGTCTTTTGCTGCCTTGTTTCCTGATTGAAATTAGCTGCTTCTGTCCTTGTTTCAACTGTTATAGTTCTTGTTCCAGGCTATGGTTTGCATTACAAACCCCTCAAGCCAACTTCTGACTCCACTCCTTTTGCCTCACCCATTGGATTTGTGGATCTGTTTGTACCTCGGTCAGCACTGTCTTCTGCTTCTTAATGTCATTCCAGCAGTACTGTTGTCTTGTGTGTACCCAACGGATGTTTTCTAGTCTCAGCTGAAACACGCTGGAGGGGCTCCTAAGAGTGTGCTGAGAAAAGAGGAGTCTCAGGCTGCGGTCGTAGCTGGCTGCTGACCAGCAGGAAGAGCAGACTGCACCTTGCTGTGTGCTGTGGTGCCCTCTCAGGAGACAGTGACACCCCCTCAGATCTGCTGGTGGAATAGGCCATTGCTTCCTCACCCTTTTCTGCCACAGTGATCCATGTTAAAAAATGGCTAGTCTTCAGTCTTACTGCTAACCTGGATCCCTGTGACAGAACTGCACATAAACTTACAGGTTTGAGAGCACTGAACATGGAAGGAGATGAGCAGATGGGGGCAGTCATGTCTTCACTCACTGAGAGCGCTTTTTTACGGCAGCCGAGGCCACTTGATAGGAAGTGCCAAGGACCTCGGTGATCTAAGCTGCACCCATTTTTAGGGTATAGATATGTGCCCACATAGGGTATGTGCCCATTTTTAGGACTGCAGGATCTTCTTGGGAGTCGTAATGCCTGATTTTTCCCAGGTTATATCCCTTTGTCACACAAGAAGGCAAAGAGGGTTCCTGCAGCCCCCTCCTCTGACCCATTTTCACCAGTGGCTGCTGTGCTGTGCTCACTGAGCAGATGGGAGCTCCCTCTTTTGCTTGAGAAGGAATGTGAACTTAACAGCAGGGAAGAAAAATATTTCAGCCATTTTCCTAGGGAGTATTTAGGGTGTGTCCCTTGGAAGCTCTTTCTGTTAGAACCATTTAAGTTTGCAAGGAATAATTAAATTTTCATTTTGAGAGATGGGAGAATGAGCACTGCTCTTTAGTCTTCTGATCTGAGCACTCATATGGAGATGGAAGAGCCAAAATTCCAGTCTTAGCTTCACTGCATACTTAATTTAATGTATTTAAATGTTAATTGGAGTCCTGGTGGGTACCCTGAGCATTAAACTATATCAGTGTTGCTCATTCTTGTAAATTTTCCCTAGCCTAATTCATATTTTATTATTAAATGCAAATTAGAACCACCCTACAGGAACAATGGAGTTTCACTTTCCTTGTGGTATTCACCAACTTGCTGATTATTTATGTGAGGTGAGGTACTTGCAGGGTCAAGCCTTTCTGTGGAGGATGCCATGGATTTGAAACAAGGTACCCCAAACTTAGCATGAGTGCTCTGATCATTGAGTTGATAGCTGGGGGAAAGATGTCTTGTGTCACATACTGCCCAGGTCAGTAGATCCCTTCTGGATCAGGCCTCGTGGGGGAGAGGTGGTCAGATGTGTGGAGAATCCTGCCAGGGCTTAAGCACGAGTTTAGGATTGAGGCTGCTCATCACTGTCTAGACTTGGCTGTGTAGTACAGGGGCCCTCCTGTGCTGCTGGCATAGGTGGTAGCTGAGTCTGGAGAAAGAAAAATGTGGACTTCAGCTCCTGAATTCCCTTTGTCATAAACAGAACATACTCTCAGGCTTGCCTTTCAATTAAAATCTCTCCCTCTTTTGTTTGGCTTTTCTTTTTGTTGACACTACTAGAAAGCCCTGTGTGACTACTCAAACTGCTTACTACTCTTACCTCCCAGTAACGTTGCAATGAGACGAGATGTCCAAGAGGGCCAGGCTCGGTGTTTATCCCACCTAGGAAGGCACAAGGAGGCTCTCGATATTGCACAAAAAATGGTAATTAACACAACCTTTCTTTTAACCTTTGAACGTGAAAATATTACCCGTGGTTCTTTTATATGGACCATTTTCTGGAAAAATAATCTTCATGTGTATAATCCTTCAGGATGTTCAGTGCTCGGAGTATTTGGTAAACAGAGGGTAACTGTCACTGCAGATCTAATCACTCTTTAGAAATCAGAACACCCTGTACCACAATGAGCTCCCTGTGCAGGGAGGTTGGTAGTCCTGGAAGGGACTAAATATAATGCTCTGCCAGGCAGAATTAATGCAATGTAATAGGAATTATAAGAAGGGGGATAAATGAGTACTTAAGTCTTTCCACTATAAAAGTGATGGTTCAAAACTACCTTTTATTTCCATATACTCACTGCCAAACAACTACAAGAAACGTATCTATCCACAAATTGAGTTTTTCCCATAAAGTAGAAAGTCCAGAGGCTCTGACGTCTTGTAGAATTTTACTGCTGCTGTTTATTTTCTATAAAAGGTGTTTCTACTATAAAGAATGGCATTTGTATAAAACTCTGAATGCAAATAAACAAATGACAGAATTCTTGCCTTTCAGGCTGGGACCAGACAGCTGGAGGCAGTGCTGTCAGCTTGATCCTGCATGATCCGTGTCACGTTGTATCATGTAAAATTAAGAGCACAGTTTTGTTCAGTTTAAAAATTGCCTTCAGTGCTGCTTGCATTTCATTATTCAGGGACACATTTTCTTAGGCTCTGACAGATGACTCTGTTCTACTCCTGGTTTTAATCTATTATCTTTTGTTTCTAGAGAGATGGTGCTACTAACACAGATCACTTGACAGCGGTTCTCAGCCTGCAGTTTGCCATTTACCAGGGCCTGGAAAATGTAGGAGAAAAGATCATGTGTCTGCAGCAGCTGATCTGCTTACATCCTTTCAACCCTTGGTACTGGAAGTTACTCGCTGAAGCTTATATGAGCCTTTTACACAGTTTGACTCCATTAGACATTCCAGAAACAAATCTAAATCAGTCTAAAGAGGTTAGTTTTAGTGATAGGAGTTTCAAAACATCAGCTGGAAGAGAGATTAATTTGCAGCCTGACCCATCAGACAGCCAGAAAGAAGGCCCTTGGTCCAGCCTTGCTACAGAAACAAAGAGAGAGAATGCAGTGACTTGTAGGAGCAGCCAAGTTGTGAAAGAATTCTTCTGCACTTCAGAAGAACTGGAAAGGATGGATGGAGGGAAACACACAGCTTCTGAGTCCTGGAAGCAGAACATGTGGAAGAACACTGGGATAAAGGCATGTGCGTCATTTATTAGAGCAAGGTAACTAAATGTGTTCTTGGAATAATGTTTACTTCTCCCAGTTGAGAATGATTTAAAGCACATTTTTCCCCACCCTTTAAATTTTAAGTTTACATTTTCAATTTAAATGTTTGTTCCAGCGCTGGCAACGCTGACTTAGAAGCTCCCTGCTACTGCTTCGGATCTAAAAATCCACTAGCATGGTTGCTGTGAACAACCTGCATTTGAGTGGAAAGACTAAACCAGAGCCAGGCACTGTTGGAGAAGTAAAACGTTTTCTTAGTGACCTTATTATATGAATCTTTTCAAATAATTATATACAACAGGCTGTATCCTGCTCTGGTATTAAAGATGCAGCAGCAGAAGTGCCCCAAAGAGGAGGCCAGCCAGTCTTCCTTCTGCGAGTGCCACCTGCCTTGTTTGCTTGAAGCCTCATGCTTGAGTGAAAATGTATTTTATAATAATACCCCAATATGCATAATGGATGAGGTTGAAAAATGAATTCTGTGACAGCTGATTGATGGGGCTGCATTCAGATGCTCTTTCCTTTTCTTTCCTCTCTTCCTAAAACTTGCACACAACAAAAATCCCCAAAACATAATCTTTCAATGAGATAATTAGGAACTGGTTTTGTTAAAATAGATTAGATTTTCGCAACCCCCCCCCCCTTGCCTCTTGGTGGTGTATTTGTCACTGAATGTATTTTAAGCCATCTCCTGAACTTCCAAACATATTTACAGAAAATGCTTTATAGCTGCCCTGTTAGGGCAAGATTTAAGAAATGTCAAAAAAGGTATAGTAGCTTTTAACTGTACCCAGACTAACAGATAATGTGTTTAATTCCTATTTGAGAGAAGTTAACAGATTTAGTATTGATACAGAATATTAAAGCTATGTTCAAATTGAAGTAATTTGTGTTGTTTGTTTCTGCATACATAGTTTAGCATTGGAACAATTACCAATTGTGGGAATTCCTTTCTTGGCTACACAGTTTCACAGTTTTTTATATTTGCAGATATACTTACCCAGGGTAAGCTTCTCCCCTACCAAGGGCTTATGCATTAAATAGTTTGTTTAATATTTTCAGGTCTGTTGGGTTTTAAGTGAGATGTGGATGTTGTATAAACATGAGGCACTGTCTTGAACATGAAACTGTGATGAAAGATTTCAGAAAATATTCCATAGTTAGCCTGTGTAGGGAGGATATTTGTCTAAAATCCCCACATTTCTAGCTTTTCAGGTTACAGAGATAATAATTGCCATAGACAGCAAAGCACTGCTGTCCTGTTAGGCCTTAATAAGGATGTGGGACACCTGATGTACTGCAGTGAATGCCAGCAGGTCCCAGCTTCACTTTTGAATTGTGTGACAAATACACAGAATCATAGAAACCTGATGAAGTTCAACAAGGGCAAGTGTAGAGTTTTGCATTTGGGGAAGAGAAACACCATGTACCAGTACAGGTTGGGGGCTGACCTGCTGGAGAGCAGTGTAGGTGAAAGGGACCTGGGGGTCCTGGTAGACAGGAGGATGACCATGAGCCAGCAGTGTGCCCTTGTGGCCAAGAAGGCCAATGGCATCCTGGGGTGCATTAGAAAGGGTGTGGTTAGTCGGTCAAGGGAGGTTCTCCTCCCCCTCTATTCCGCCCTGGTGAGGCAGCATCTGGAATCTTGTGTCCAGTTCTGGGCCCCTCGGTTCAAGAAGGACAGGGAACTGCTTGAAAGAGTCCAGCGCAGAGCCACAGAGATGATGGAGTGGAACATCTCCCTTATGAGGAAAGGCTGAGAGAGCTGGGTCTCTTTAGCTTGGAGAAAAGGAGACTGAGGGGTGACCTTATCAATGTTTACAAATATGTAAGGGGTGAGTGTCAGGAAGATGGAGTTAGGCTTTTCTCAGTGATGACCAGTGATAGGACAAGGGGTAATGGGTGCAAACTGGAGCATAGGAGGTTCAAGGTGGATATCTGAAAAAAATTTTTTACTGTGAGAGTGACAGAGCACTGGAACAGGCTGCCCAGGGAGGTTGTGGAGTCTCCTTCACTGGAGACATTCAAAACCTGCCTGGATGTGTTCCTGTGTGGTGTGCTATAGGTGGACCCGCTCCACTAGACCAGGTTGCTCCAAGCCCCATCCAACCTGGCTTTGAACACTTCCGGGGAGGGGGCTTCCACAACTTCCCTGGGCAGCCTGTGCCAGTGTCTCACCACCCTTGCAGCAAAAAATTTCTTCCTAATGTTTAACTTAAGTCTGCCCTCCTCCAGTTTAAAACCAGTACCCCTTGTCCTATTGCTACATGCCTTTATGGGGAGAAAAAAAAATGGCACAAAGCTGCCAGAGATTCTTGGCATTTTGGGTTTTTTTGGGAAAAAAAAAAAAAGTGCTTCTCAGTACTTCTGTCCTAGCAGGAATATACCATAGCCATAGTGGATTGATAGGGATGTATTAATTTCTCTGCACTTTTTGCAGTTGGCAAAAATGAGGAAGAAGAGCTGGCTTTACAGCATTATATTTTGTTTGGTTTTAGGCTTGGTGACTTACTCTTTTGCCAGTTCTACCTTTTTTTATCTGTCTTTTTCATTTCAGGCTTTTACTTCAGCTTACCCAGTTGCAACAGTCGTCCTTTGCACTAGAGAGTAACATGAAAGGTCAAAAAGAAATTGATGACCAAGTGGCACGACTTGATTTCAATGAAAACTCCTTGCTGTTGATGACCAAGGTAAGGGGATGTTTCATTGTGTGCAAGTTCTGGGCTGTACGTAGGCTGGTTGAGGTACCTGAGCCAGTTCGGGCATGGTCAGCAGGACACTCCCCTGAGCTAATTAACTGTGTCAGGAAGCCTGGCAAATTAGCTGGGGTGGTAGTGTGTTATCTGGAACTGAGGGTGATGCCTCCATAGTGCTGGCTTGTGTCATGCAGGTGTCTCTCTGTTCTGCTGAGATTGGCCTTTAAGGAATGTTCAGGGTTGTTAAGTTCTTCATTGGACTTGTATTTGCAGATACATTATCACTGTGCATTTCCTGGGATGCTGAGTTTACCTCAGGAGTTTCAGATGCCATAAAGTGAATCACAAGTATGAAAATGGAGGTGAAGATTACTCTGATGGCCACAGTAGTATTAAACATTCCAGAACGAGTATTACACGTTTTCAGGAGGAGCCAGAGATCCTTTTACGTGATTTCTTCTGTTTCATGTACTGGCTTCTAGCTTTAAAGAATTACAAGGAAGGAGACTAAGATTGCGCTACTTTATTTGTCGAAACTAAATATTTGTATTGCTGCTTATAGAGATTGTGACTTTTGGGTTAAGGAGCAAAAGGAAGCCAGTGAGATTCTAACTTGGCTGTCAGTGTTTCAGCGTTAAGCTGGTAGTAACGAAGCCGTTGCCTGGCGGGCGGGCAGTCGTGTGGGCTTTAATCCGTCAGAGGGCACTAGTACGCAGACTATCTCGGGTCTTCAAAAGGTTGGGGAAAGAAACTTCTCTCCTTGCTTCCCTGGGCCCGACACGCCCCAGGAAGAGACCCGTGTTGGTGCTGATGCAAGGTGAGCACTGAATGCAGAGCTGGCGGTGAGATTTGTGCTGCTTACTTGTAGAGTAAAAATCCCCGTGGAGAAGCGGAGCCAGAAGCTGGGTGGGGTTGTGCAGCTGGGAGCTTGGGCTCTCAGTTCTCCCTGTTTATTGCAGAATGCAACAGGCAGTTACTTGATCGTGACTTGGAAACTTCTGGACAATGTGTGGTTCATGTTTCAAGGGCTTTTCTCGTAAAGAACTGTTATTAATGTCATACTTGCTGTTTTCTCTGCAAGTCATTTTCATGTCTGTCATCTTTCATACTCTGTTTGCAGGTTATGGGCCAGGATCTTGTACCAGAAAAACTAAAAGAAGAATTTCAGGGTGAGGTAAAATGCATAGGCCCTTCAGCACTGTCATCACTGGTAACTGCATCAGCCACAGAATTTGAAATCAAATGGTTTAGTAATCTCCAAGATGATTTATGTCACTTTGACAGACAATTCTGTTCAGATTGATATCTCTCACCTTCTGTACCTTAAATGTTTCATTGTATTTATTCTCATATCTCCAAATGATTATGGAATGATATATGCAATAAAGTTCATACTGCATTTTTTTTAAGAATTCTTATTGTATATCTTTTAAGAATACATGTAGATCTCTGCATTTAAACTCTTAACATCTCATAATTTATTTTGTTCAATGATTAGTTTGTATTTAAAATAGTAAGGAATCCAGTATAAAATCCAGCTTTCAGGGATAGCTTTCCATCATAAACCTCACTGTGTTATGCTTGAAGCACCTGTGATTTCTGGGGGCCTGTGATGCTTGTGGGCTGACAGGCTTCCTTTATGATACCTAGTTTGAAAGTTTCTTGGTATCAAATTCTGTGTTGTTGCATTGAGAACCACAGAATTAGCCATTTTCTTCATTAATTTTAAAGAATATTTATTGATTAGTTGACATTATAGTGATTTCCTGTTCGGAGCTGGATAGCTAGAAAACTTAAATATATTTATGCTGAGAAATTGTCAACAATCCCATGTATTTCAGAAAAAGAATCTAAATGGTAAATATTTAACTGAGAATTGGAAGGAGAGTTTCTTGACGGCTAAGTGTTTTTTTGCAGGTGTAGAACTAGCTTAGGTGACAGAGGAGAAAAACTCTGCCAGTTGTTTATACGTACTGAGGAGTGTTTAGTCAGATCATATCCTTTGTGAAACCCTGCAAGGAAGATCTGTGCTGTGAATAAACTGGCAGTGTTGTTTCTGCATCACCCAGCTCCTTGTGTTATGCTTTCACTTGATATTGACACCACTTTGCTTTACTTTCTGAAGCATCGATGCTGTTCTTTGAGTTTCCAGAGAAAAAGGCAAAAATTATCCATAGGTTTTTACTTGAAATAATTTACATTTGAGGCAAACAAAGTGTGTTCTTGCCCCATCTTCTCTTAAACAGAGAGTTTTAAAGTCTTTGCTGCTTTTTGTAAAAGTGTTCTTTAGTGGATATAGTTTAAAATCAGGAATCTCTTATACATAATTTACTGTGACTTCATGTTTTCCTGTGATTTCTTTCTGAAGTACCCAAGGGTGCTGAAACTGGGTAACTCACAATTGACACACCATATGTGAACACACTTTGTGTCTTCTGCTTTAAGGTGAATTTTAAAGCTTTAAGATACTGGTTAGGGAACTTGTCAGTAACCCTTGGCATGGTGTGGCCCTCTGCTAAGTTGACTGTAAAACCTCTCCTGAAAAATGGAATATTGCCTTCAGCCATGTCAAATTATCTTCGAGAGTTCGGTGACTTAATGCGATTAAACCACATCCTGGTCAGCTTGTTATAAAAGATGATGGCTTGGCAAGTATACTTGGATAAGCACTAATCCACTCACAGTGTATTACGGAATATCTGGTTTAGTCATGCGTGTGTGCTTTGCTAGGTGGAAATTGGTGTGTGTGTGTGTAGGGCACTATATTTGGGTGGCAGTGAAACATGCCTGAAGGGCTGGGGGTGCTTTTAACACTTACCTGGTGTCGTAAGTTTTCAGTAGAGACTGTCCATAATGTGCTGGAAATTAATTACAATGTTGAGCTCAACAGTAGAATTACACTATTACAGCAATGACACAGCAAACATGGAAAGTTTGATGCCAAATATGTCAGCAAAAAACTGGAATAGGGACTTCTCCCAGTTTCTTCTTAAACTTCCAGTCATGAGTAGCCACATACAAAGGCTATAATTTGTTTGTCACAGCTCTTGAGTAGGTTAAGTAGTTAAAAACACTAGAACACAGCTTTTGTGGAACCAGGTTTGTAAGGATATTTCATGGGAACTCGACAAATTATTTGCCTCTACAGTTTAGAAGGTGGACATACCTTTTGAGCTGTTTTAGCAGCAAATTAAATAGTTGCCAAATGTTGTGATTGTGTTGAGATGTCCAAAATACACAGCAGATAGCCAAGGTGATTTGGAGACATTTTGGTGTGCATGCAGATTGACTTGTGGTTGTCTCTTAGACTGGCAACATAACAGTTAACTCCCCATGGGCTCTAGGAGAGGAAGGCAAGTGGCAGTTCTTAAGAATAGGCAGTATTTTCTCAAACATAACAATAAAGGAAAAATGTTGGTTTTAGCTACTGCAAAGAAAACAACATGAGCGTTGTTCTGAACATGTTGCATAGTTACTGCTCCAAATAACCAGTGTTTATTGCACTGAGGCTATGAAATATTTCTTTGTCCAACTTATGCCTGGCTATCTCTCATCTCAGCCACTTAAATCCCTCCTTTTTTGGCCTTCTCCTTGCTTTTTTGGCATGCCACTTCTGACTCCAGCTTTCTGTTTCTGATCGTATCTCTTGAGGGACTTTGCATTTCCTTCTTGCATGTGAATGCCTCATTGTTGCTTCTACATTCTGCATAATTGTACTGCCTGTAATAGACTTCTTCATGTTTTGGCTGGCATTCTATTATTATTGGTTTTAGAACATGCACCAGTACTCCACACTGAGTTAAAAAGTGAATGTTAAGAGTTTCAAACTGCAAGTGAGAATCAATTAACAGTTACTGAGGTTTGGTTTTGTTGTTTTAACACTTGCTCGTGTTACAGACACTTTGAGAAGCACCCCCTGACCCTGGTTCTGATGCTTATGAAATAGTTGCTGTGTACAAACACAGTCTAATTGTGTGTCTTGCTGTTGAGTGTTGGAATACTGCTGGCTCTGAGGTGAGAGAGCATGTTAGTGCTGTAGCTAGTGACATTCACTCAGTATTCTTCAACACAGAATCACAGGATGGTTTGGGTCCTTAATGTCAAATGCCCCCTCCTCTCCTCTCTTCTCCTAGCTTTTGTTGCTGAGCATGAGGTCATATAGTATGGAGTATCTTTTTGGTCAGCTTGGGCCAGCTGTCCTGGCTATGTCCCATTGGATAGACGTGAACTTGATGGATGGACCTCAGTGGATAAGGAAATGGCTGGACAGTCACACTCAAAGAGTTGTGGTCAATGGCTCCATGTCCAAGTGGAGATCAGTGATGGGTGATGTTCCTTGAGGGTCAGTTTCGGGACTAGTGCTGTTTAACATCTTTGTCAGCAACATGGACAGTGGCATTGAGTGCACTCTCAGCAAGTTTACTGATGACACCAAGCTGTGTGGTGTGGTAGACATGCTGCAGGGAGGTGATGCCATCCAGAGGGACACAGACAGGCTTGGAAGGTGTGCCCATGCTTGTTTTATTTTTGTTAGACCCACTCTTTTTTTTTTTTTTAATATTTTTTTGTGGGTTGTTGTTTTTCAAATTGTGGGACTTGCAGGCATGACATCCCACCACCTCAGCATTCTCACAATTCACATTGTGATTTTTTCCTATCTCCTGTTTGATTGACAATGAGATAAAGGCAACTCAATCAAATGTGAGATACCAAAAAATCACCATGAGATAAAAGCAAATGAATCCAACATAAAATACAAACCCTAAAAGTTTGGCCAGCATAAGCACAACCAGCTAATCTGCAGGCGGGTTGCAGGGAAGGTGGGGAGGGCAACGGGAGGGTTTTGCCCAGGAAGCTGGGGAGCAGGTGCTGCCCCACTGCCTCCCACTGCCCCCTCTGGTGCTGGTTCTGCCCTATGCGGATGGGGGAGGCTGCTGCTTCCCTGTGGCCCTGTGGCCTGGGACCAGAGAGGATGCTGAGTGGTGGGATGTCCTGCCCGTAATCCCCTCAATTTACAAAACGCCACCACTCCCCAGAAAAAAGAGAAAAGAAACCCAAAAAAAAAGAGGCTGACATGAGTGCAGGCTCCCCCACCAGGGAGGGTTCAGGTGTCTGGCTTCAAACCCTGCCTGTCCTGCATTGCCTTCTTCCTCCCCCATGTGACCTGCAGTGCAAGCAGGGCAGGGACAGCTCACTGTCAGCCCTTCCCCCACCTCCTGTGGGAGACTGTTCACTGCCAGGAGCTTGGGGCTCCTTAAGGCACCACACAGAACCCCTGCTGATGTTCAAGGGCTTTGTGGAGCTCCTTGTGTGGAGGGAGAAGCTGTGGTATGGTGTTGAGGGTGGAAGGAAGTGATGACATGGTGCTTCATGGTGGGCAGGAGCAGCACTGTGCTGGCTGACACACAGTTGTCCTGGTGGAGAGTTGGCAGTGTAGAATTATCAGGTGGCCAGGTGTCCTAGACCCCCTGGCAATGCACATTGCCTGCTCAAGACCATTTTCTTATCCACCAGTATCCCCAGGTCCTTCTCTGTGGGGCTGCTCTCAAACCCTTCATCCCCCAGCCTGTATTGATACTGGGGGTTGCCCCAGCCCTGGTGCAGGACCTTACACTTGACCTTGTTGAACTTCACAGGGCCCAAGAGCCCCCTCTTCCAGCCTGTCCAGGTCCCTCTGGATGGCATCCATTCCCTCCAGTGAATCAGCTGCACCACACAGCTTGGTGTCATCCACATGAGGGTGTGCTGTGTGGGAGCAGTGTTTATCCCAGCCCTGCCCTTGTGGCAGGTGGACAAAGCATGTCAGCATCCTGCCAGGATCTTCCTGACAGGTGGTTCCTGCTGCTGCCTGTAACCACACATTCCCCTCATCACTGAACGATCAAGCTTGTAGGGGCTTGTTACAGTTCTGGTATTTTTTTGCATAGCTCATTGCTGAAATTGCAAACTCCTATTGTTTTCCATTGCAACTGAAATTCCATTAATTTGCTGTTCAAGTTTAGCTGTCAGCAGAGCCAGCACAAGTTGTATCCCTGAGCCAGGGCTGAAGTTGGCTCTTTTTAACTCACGGTGCTTTTTCAAGGCTCTTTCCTTCTCCGTTACCTACTTTTCATTAGTTGTGTCCTCCAAGACTTCCATAGACAAACAGACATGTAAAGCACTTCTTCATGGATTTCATGGGTCATGGCCTGAGAAAAGGAAGGCTTCAGAGGCAATGGTCTACAAACGTCCCCCCATGTCCCCCTCTGTGCCACCCCTAGCTGGACCACAGTGGGATCAGGGAACTAAACCAAATTTAGAAGAAAAATCTTAATTAGATGGAGGGCCATGTATGTTTCCTCTGTTCCTATTGATTTCAGAAGAAACAAACTATGTTTCCTCTTCACCTGGACTCTTGACTGTATGGAACTCATTTAGCTTTTGGAAGAGAAGAGAAGAGAAAAAGGTGCACAGGTCGAGAACATGAATGAACAAAGTGATTCTCAAAGGGATTTTTCATGAAAGTATTTTATTTGAGTGGTTGCCATATTGATGATAATTAAGTAGAATTGTCATCAGAATGAAAATCAACTTTCCCTTTTTCCCAAGGAATCAAAAAAAGTTATGTACAGAATTTACAATTATATGCAATGGTTTATTCTGGACTCTACAATTTGATACCAGGGGTAAAAATATCTTAAAAAAAAAAAAAAAAAAAAGCTAGAGCAGGACATGTCCATCATCCTAGTAATATGAAATTTTCATAATATTCTTGTAAACTTGACCAGAATGCTTTCAAAATTATTGCTTTTCCAAGGATGAGAAACTTTCCTCACCTGAGATCTTGCTGCTGAATACAATTTTCATCATCCACAGCCTAAATAATTAAATTGTATTTCCTTTTTGAGTGAGAAGTTGGGCAAAATGGGCCAGATGTGCAAATGTGTTTAGGTTGCTGTTTTCTGTTGGAGTTAAATGAAAGATGCTGTAAAGCGGGTGTAAAAAAAATATCTACTGAGACATCAATAGATGTTAAGCATCTAGTAAGTTTGGGATTTGGATGGAAATCCTTTGTTCCCTGAATTTTCTTAGAATTTTTTGCCTTTCACTTATGGACGCTGCCATAGTTTTCCTGAATTGTTTGGCAGGAAGTTTCTCTACTTTTGGCTCAAGCTGCTGAACCTCTGTAACTCCCTCTGTATTCAATAGAGATAGACACCCAGTTTCACTTAAAAAATTAGAAACCTTGAAGAATTCTGAAATAAATCATCATTATCTTTAACTTAACGTGCAATCAATGACCTTTGAGAGGATTTCTAAGATCCGTGTGCTATTAAATGAATTTGAACTCAGCCCTGGTGTGTTACTAAGTAGGACTTTGCTTCTTTACTCAGCTTCATTTTCCCTTCCAACTCCACAGAGCTGTGCTGCAATGAGGAAAATTGCTCTGAGCTGGTGGGACTGGAGGTTTTTAACAAAGTGTGCTGGAAGACACCCGTGTCACTGATGGGCAGGGAGAAGCACGTGGTGGCTGCAAGATCTCCTCTGTAACCCAAACTGTTGTTCTGGGTCCGTGTCATGGTCAGCAGGCTCCTTCCCAGAAGCCCTGCCAACAGATGTCCTTGCTGCTGGGAGACAGCACTGGTGGAAACTGTGCTTCCCCATCAGCCCTACAGGAGTCCTCCTCAATTAAGGCAAAGGTGCAGTGACAGCACAAAGGTAGCCTGTCCTTGCCCTTGTATCTTGCCCCTGCTGGCATCGCCGCCATGTGGCACATAAATACCACCCTTAGGTCTCCTTAAGCAAGGGCATAAAATGCAGAGTCATGAGCTGCGGCTTATCCCCCTCTCGGGTGCCAGGCCATGACAGGCAGTTCCCGCCAGTGTTGTTTAGGTGTGTTCTTCCCAGGTGATGCACCCGAGGTTTATATGTTAGCAGGCTTGGGTTTTTAATTAGGGAAACGAAGGTTTCCATAAGCAGCAAAACAAAAACAAGAGGCTTGAAATCATCCTCATTTTGTATTATACAGAATGTCTATATTCATCAGCACACAAGCGATTGCTAAACAGGTCCTCACTACGTTTACCTGCAATTCAAAACAAGGTGGTTATTATGCAAACAGGTTAGCTTTGTGGAGGCATCTCCAGGGTGAGCTTAACCCTGACCTGTTCTGGTCCTCTGGTCTAAGTCTGATGGGTCTGTAAATGTTCATGTTGCTATAGGGAACGGTGGCGCTATCGGCCACGTAGTGTGGCTGGTAGTAGTTAGGCTGGGCAGCCATCGGTGGGGCTGGGGCTGGGGGTGGGAATGAGATGTGGCCGTGGAAGGAATTAACTCTGTGGAGAGGTGACTGGGGGGTGAAGCTGCTGCTGAACATGAGAGTCCTTGGGGGTTGCTTGGTCCGGTGGGCGCTGCCAGCTGAGAGGCTGCTGAAGGGGTCGGAGAGAGTGTTGGCGCTGCCCTCGTCGCTGTCGGGGAGGCTGCGCTGGGGGGCCCAGCTCTTGCTGAACAGGAAGGGCAGAGCGCGCGGGGGAGACTTCGGGCCCCTCACGGGCTTGGACAGGGCGTAGAGGTGTCTGAACTCCTCGTCAAACAGCTCCACAACCTGACCCGTGAACTTGGAGAGGAGGTTGCGGTGAACCTGGCCACAGAGCCATGTGAAGCTGGAAGGAGAGACAAGGGGAGGGTTAGCGTTCCCATCAGCCATGAGGAACTGGAGATCCCTGCAGGGGTGGTGAGAAGGCAAATGCCTTTTACTGCTGAAGCTTCTTGTCCAAACACAGGATGAAAATGGTGTCACAGTTGAATTTCAGGTCAGTTCACATCAGTGCTCTTTGACTTGGATCAAGATTTGTTATTGCAGCTGCCTCAAAAACCTCCAAGAAACCTCATAAAGTTATACAACCTCCTCAAGGGAGCGGTGATCCAGATCCACTGCAGGAGTAAATGTCAGATACAACACTCGTGGTTTGAGTGTCTGTTCCATGGAAAGGAGTACAGACCCCTCTTTTGGGTACCTCTCTTCAATGCACAATGCTTAAATTAAGGTCTTGCTATACACACACACATAAATTGTACCCTCCCTGCAGAGTGCTGTGCCAGTTGGTAACTCAAAACTGACATTAGAAAGGTCAGTGAAAAATAACATTATTATTTTTCATTTTTCTATACCTTTTCTGCACTAGTCAAGAGAAGCACATAAAACCCCAACCTGCTACAGCCCCCTCTCACAAAACAAGCTGCCACACCTGACAAAAACTTGTGTTCACTAGAGAGAAAATAAAATTCTAAAGATTTCCTAACACCTTTAAAAAAAAATAAAAATAAAAAACCCAAAACAACACCCTACTTTGCTATAAAGGGAGAAACACAGCAACAGTTTTCATTCTGTTAGTCCAGAGAAACACCTTAGGCTACCCCATGGCTTTAAAATTATTTTTCTTTTATGTGCTTCCCAAATCTGCTTGGCAAACAAGAATTTGTGCTCTTTCACAAAACCACAAGTCAGCTGGGTTGTGCTGTGCAGGCTGCCTGGGCTGAGCAGCAGCAGCATCAATAACCTGAGCACAGCTGAGAGAATGAAATGTACCAACTCCCTGAGCAGAGCAGGGCTGGAGCTGCGCAGCAGGGGAGACAGAGCAGGGCTGGATTTGAACCCAAGCTTATTCTGTCTTGGCAAAACTCTACTCCAGATATTCCTGCCTGATTTTATGCAGGATTTGCACTAGGATTTGCACAAGGATTGCTGAGAGCCAGATTTGGCTGCAGGTGTGTGCACTTTAAATCTTGTTCCTGTCATGTTTTGACATGACTCCTGTGAAACTCAGTGGGACTGACAGCCTGAGAAAGCTGATTTACATCAGCCTGGCTGGAGTGTTCTTAAAGAGGGCTGGGTTTGGGGCATGCAGGGGTTTTATGCTGCTGCTTCAGGAGCATGGGGAGGGGTAAAGAACTCAGCAGTTCAATGCCACCAGGCAACCCTACAGTACATACTGTACATTTTATGATTGGACATGAAAATAAGCTCTAAGTTACTAGAATACAGCTACTTGTCATCCACTTTGTTCAAATCCTTCTAAATATGGACAAAACCTTGGGAGCCGAGGCAAACAGCACAGCAAGCTGACTCCCTCCTGTGTGGGTAACAGCTGCTGTGCTAGCTCAGCCTTGCCTTTGTTCACTAAAAAGCCCTCTCTAAACTTTGCATGTCCTTCACTTAACTGTGAAGGAGATAATAAGCCAGGAACAAACACAAAGACACACAATTAGTCTGTATATCTACGCTGAAGGTTAGAAACTCATGAAAGGGCTGAGGTGTGGAGTGGCAAGTTTATACTTCATGTGCTAGAGATAGATCTACAGCTCCATAGAGAAATTTATAAAAGAAAAATCTGAGAGAACTAAAAATCAATTACACTTACAAATGGCTTTTCAAAACCCAGCAAAACCAGGGAAAAAACTCATGCCCAATTTTGATCATTTACTCCCACATCAGGTGTACCTGACAGACAGATACTGATTTGTGGCTCATGGATCTTATCTGTAAGCCTGGTAAGCAGAGCAAGTTTGTTGAATTAACAGCTTAAAGATTCTCCATGGGCTGAGGGCAAAGGGGCCAGGTGTAAAATAACAAGGTGAGACCTGTATGATTTTAGACAAACGTTTGTAGACTTCATGGAGTGAGTGAGTTACATTCTCTGCACTTTGCTGAAGAGCAAAACAGAAATTGACATAAAGACTTCACAGGTTTTCATTAGCTGCATTCTAAGAGGAAATTTGTTGTTTAGATGTTAGGTCCTGCTTTCCTCCTTAGTTTACAATTCTGAGTGCTCTTTTGGGAAGGGCTCAGAAAAGTCTGTTACTGTCACTGTCTGCCCAGAAGGATCATTTGTTCTGCCAGTTATCTTGGAGTGCATCACACCAGAAAGAAGAGAAAGCACAAAGAAGTACTGCCTAGCCTGGGGCCAAAGCTGTATGACAAATTCAGTCACTAATAGAAACTTCTCAGCTGTCTTTCCACGGCTTTGCCCCAAAACCTATGTCCTGTTCTGGATCCTTTAATTTATGATTGTCTGAATCACACCTCACCTCTCCTGTCCAATCCTCCTTTGCTCTGGACTTGTTTATTTTCTGGGTGCAGGCTCTGCAGTCGTGCAGCTGCAGTTCACTAGGGATGATCCCATCCCTTCTGATGACAGTGCTGCAGTGACGTGCAGCATCACACACATTCACTCTGAAATGGAAGGTCTGGGTTTTTCAGCTGAGCTCAGCTTTGAATTAGCACTTCGAGTTAGTGTTGCCTGCTGGTGGGGTAACCTCTGGGATGCCCCACCTGAACCAAAGCCCTCAGCAAAGCACCCCAGTGTTAGAAGTCAGACACTGGCTCTAAAGAAGCCAATGGCTTTTAGGGTGGCAGCTGAGGGGCACTCAGCTGCCCTTCAGGATCAAAGTCTGTGCTTCCTGCTGTTTTCATGTTACCTTCTGTAGGAGCACTGATTTCAGGCACTATCTAACTTCAAAATATACATATATATTTAAACAAAGGAGTAACATAGTTACCTTAGGATGGAACAGTGTAACACAGGCAGCAAACCAAATTTTGCATCCACATGCTGCAGCACAGACTGACAATAAAAACTGAGAGGAAAACTGGAATTTAAAATACTTCCTCATGCCTGCACTCGTGCAGACATAGGGCTGGAACAGCCCTCAGAAACCTTCAGCTCCAGCCTGCCCTGCGTGGCAAGACTTGCCAAGACTGACCCAAGCAATAGCTGGTTAATGTGGTTTTAAAAACCACTCCAGAGCAGGAGATGCCACAGACCCGGTAGTGGTTCCTTTGCCTCTGACTAGTCACCATCTTCAGTCCTGTTCACTGTTGATTAAGCACACACCTTGTGTCCCTGAACACTTGGGCTAGAAGCAGTGAGCCAGGATCCCTTTCAGAGCAGTGTATCCTGAAGGGCTGTTTCATTTCCTAAGCCTGTTCCAGCCGCTATTACAAAGTCACACTGAGCACAGCACTTTGGTGAAATGTGCTGGTTTATTAGTTTTAAGCTCTTTTGTATTAGTTTTAAGATCTATTGAATCTGATTTCCAACAAACGCATTGCAAAAGAGTTTGAGGTTTAGGGATAACAGAAAACTCTCAGATTAATAAAGCAAGAACTTGCAAGCCTGCAGAAATGCCATGTACTGACAGCAGCTGCAGCCCGTGGGGATCTGCAGGCTGGTGCTGAGCACTCTGATGTTAAAGAGTGTACGGATTTGCTCCTCACCATCCTCTCTGCTTGCTTTGCTGGATGGGGATTACATAGTTTGACAGGGCTCTTGAGGTTAGAAGACATTGCAACAGCAGTAGAGAATGACAGAAGTGACTCTGCTCAGGATTTCAAGGGTTTTTTTTTTTTTATTTTTTTTTTTTCTTTTCAGATTGGGAAGAGAGGCCAAGGAAGCTTCTTGATTAAAGAAAATCGATTTTGTTCTGTCCCTCTTCTCCCACACACCCTTCACTTCTACTCTATATAAATCTACTGTTTCATTTCTACACATCTTTGGTGAGGGATTAAAAAAAACAAACAACAAAGTATGAAAAACCAAGAAAACCACAAAGCAGCCAGTAAAAAAATCACTCTGACTGTTCACTCATTTTTGCCTGATGGTTCATTTGGAAACTGAATGAAAACTGGATGCCTGCCTCTGCAGCCAGCTAAGCTCCTGCAGCCTGGGCTAACCTCACGTATTCACCTTTGCCTTCATTGCTATAGTTATGTCATCTTCCTGGAGGAGCAGCTTTATCAGACTGGAGGCATTTAAGACTCCAAATCATAAACCGGGATTAAGAAAAACAATCTCATCCTTTTAATTAAATAATCACCTCTGTAATTTTTTTCCTCTTGTCTTTTTGTATCTGGATTTCTAAAATACACTTTGGTAGTTTGTGAAGCTGATCTATGTAGCCACGAGGTGTGGGAACTTCATTTGATGCAAGCTCAGTGTCTCCTGAAATTCCCTCACCTGAGGGTCTTGGATCTTAATTAAAAACCCAGTTGTTGAGGTGCTACATCCTCTACCTAAAGTAATTATAGCAGCACAACAGTGGAAAGTTGCAGACTCTGCTCACAAAAAAAAAGAAAAGGGAAAAAGAAAGGGAAGTTACAACAGTCACCTGGATCCATACTGCTTCCCTGTCAGTGAAACACACAAAAAAGCAGTAAGTCTTTGAAGTATTTCTGTTTTCCCTTTAATCATCAAATTGTCATATGGAGAACTAACCTGAGTGACACATTCTACATTCAGGGATCCTGAGGGACATGGAAATGTATCGTGTCTCATGATCACAGCATCTGAGGACCCAAAGATGAGGAATGCATAATATTAAGCTATTCATATTTCTAGTTCTGCACTAGGGCTGCACTGGTAAAATGGTTTATATTAGTTTCTGAACATTTAAATTAAACACTAAACTCCATAACTAACTGACATCACCTTTAAAGACAGTTAAAAAGAGCACGTAGTTGAAAACATGAGAGTTTGGTGGTTATTTTTTTCAAAAAAGCTTCTCACCTCTACAGAAATTTCCATGGTACTTCTTCGTGAAGTAATATTAGAAGTCATAAGAGAACAGTTAAACATGACTTGCAATGGCTTTATCTCACCTGTAAGATCCAGAAAGCACGTATCTCCAGTCAGAGATAAGGAATTTTTCTTGTATTTGTCCTGAAAATTTCCTGCCTGATTTGGCACAGTAAACCTCTCCAGTAACACTGCGGACTGAGATATTCTGCAAAAGAAAAAACAGAAAAAAAAGAAGAACAGACTGAATTCTTTTTTATTATTAATTAAAAATCAGAAAGAAAGGGCCCTTCTCCCCCATTGCCTCTAGCTCTTCCTATCCCAAATGTCTGTGTCCTGGTTTGTCAAACCATGACAATCTGCTATGATTTCTTCATGGACTCTTCAATGTTTTATTTGAAAGTTTGGGGATAGAGGAAACCTAGTCAGGCTCTTTCACCTGCCACTTGTTTCAATGGGGATCTAAACCTGCATGGAGATGCACGCAGATGGAGCTGATGCTTCTGAAATGAGCAGGAGATGTGTCCATAGCTGAGCAGCCTGTGACCTCCACTGACACTCCAGCAACAACCTGCTCTGGCTGCAAGATCTCGTTTCACGTTGGCCATGACACAGTCCAGCTCTTCCAATTCACCTGGGCCTGCAAGGACCTACATGCTGCTCTTCTAGTGCAGCCCAGGCAGATGCTTTCCTGCAAGATCAGAGGCAAGTCCACATGTGAGCAGAGACACAGGTCAGTTTGACCAACGCGACCCTCTGCGATGTCCTGGTACCAGAGCAAGCACATCTGAGGCAGGCTGGGCACCCAGATGTGACTCTGCAGTCTGTACCCACCTGTTGCAGAATTAAGGCCTCAGTAAACAAGTGGCACCAACTCACATGTTGTCCCAGCCTGTGTACTGCAGCAACATCCTTACAACAAATAGCACAGGATTGTTCTTCCTAAGGAGCAGGAGCTTACAGCCCTGCAAACACTGGGATGAGCATGTTTTATTAATTTCAGTTGGGGTGGAATTCAGCTGTTGCAACACTGGTGTCTGGAGTTCTTAAGATGCCCTTGGATCTCCTGCCAGCCCTCCAGCTGCCATTCTGGAAGGCCACTGCATTATCAGCCATCCCCATGGAAGTGTCAGAGGTGCCCTACAGCATCTCAAGCAACAACTGAAATGGTGCCTAAAAGGTTATTTTTAAGGTCAGTTCCCTCTGGTGGAGATGAAGGTGGACTAAACTAACAGCATTATCTTTAGAACAGAGCTATAACAACATGTTTTATCAGAAACTGCTTAGTGGCACCAAAATACTGCCATGCAAGAGAGTTTTGTGTGCCTGGAACCTGTGGCTGCCCAACCACAGTTGCTGCATTATTAAACAGAAGCAGTTTTAAAGCTTATATGTCAGACAACTCTACTAGGGGACTTCAGCTCTGTTTTAAGACTTCATGGCCCAGATTTGTTTCATCTAAAGAAATGGGTACCACATTATAAAAAAGACATCAAGTTATGGCAGAGTGTCCAAAGGAGAGCCACGAGGCTGGTGAAGGGTGTGGAAGGGATGACTTATGAGGAGCGGCTGAGGTCACTGGGATTATTCAGCTTGGAGAAGAGGAGGCTGAGGGGTGACCTCATTGCAGCCTGTAGCTGCCTCACAGGGGGAAGAGATGGGTCAGGAACTAATCTCTTCACTCCTGTAACCAATGACAGGACTCAGGGAAATTGCAGGAAGCTGAATCAGGGGAGGTTTAGGTTGGATATCAGGAAAAGGTTTTTTAGCCAGAGGGTGGTTGAGCACTGGAACAAGCTCCCCAGGGAAGTGGTCACAGCACCAAGCCTGCCTGAGTTCAAGAAGCATTTGGATGATGCTGCTCTCAGGCACATGGTGTGATTCTTGGGATGCCCTACACAGGGACAGGAGTTGAACTTGATGATCCTGATAAGTCCCTTCCAACTCAGCATATTCTATGATCCTATGACTCTATGCCTTAACTTCCTGTAACACCCATGGGAAAACGTAGGCATCTTCAGAGGGGAATAAGGTGTGCTAGTGCTACCTCTGGAAATCTCTTGCTCCCTTTTAATTACAAGGTGGACTGACCCAGCATAAGCATGCTTCTAGCTCAGAGTGCCTAAAGTCAGGCAATCTGAGCCTAATAGTACCACAGAGCCCCAGTACCTTGAAGAGATCCTCAGCAATTTGCAACTTGTCGCACATCTCCGAGAAGAGATCTATATTGCTGTGGTCCAGCAGCAGGTAGACAAAGACCATGCGCTTGTTGGCTGCCTCCAGGAGGTCACAGAGAATCTCAGTGTCTGTGAACACATCCATCACAATAGCCAGCACCTAGAGGGGAAAAAAAAAAAAAAAGTCAGTCTCAGAGTCAAGTTACAAAAGGTTGCCTGCGAGGCTGCTGAAATGTAGGTTTTCATTTCTTTTTAATATTCCAACCAATATAAATCTTTGGAGACATGTGGATATTTCTCCTGGTTTTCTCCCTAAGTGCCTGAATCAGTACATTGAAGTGACACATTGCATCACTGTTTAATTGCTCATATAACACCAGTATCACACACGAGCTTTAATCATAAAACAAATACAAGGTGGCCCATGAGTTTGTAGGTGAGATTTCAGCACTAGGAGATATATTGGAAGTGCTAAGTGGAGAATAAAATAGCTAAAATAGGAGACTGCAGCCCTTGCCAAAGGCCTGACTAGCTTTCATAAGTCACATGCATTCAGCTAGAATCAGTGGATGAGGTCTCTTCTGTTACAACACCTGGAACGGTCCTGGCTTTAAACCCTGCCACTGGTGCAACAGACTGCAACAACTCCATCTTTTTTTAAGCTTTATAATGATTTATAAACTAATTGTTTCATTTTAACCCTACATCCATGCTTCCCAATTCACCACTGGCAGTAAAAGTCTCATGACGGGGCAGAAAAGCCCCAACAGCTACTTAAATGTACAGCCTCCAGCCAGCATGGACCAAGGGAACAGCAGATGTGCTATCAACCCACTTCCAAACTCTAGTCCCCATGCTCAGCATTGGGAACAGCCTCATGAAGGTGCTGGTCTTCATTGGTGTCTGCTGTTGTCCATGGGAAAGGTTATCTCCCTAGAGCAATTCAGCCCAGCTAATACCTGAGTTACCTTCAGAAAGTGCCTGTTTCTCCATTGACTAGAGAAGGAGCCCTTACTAACTGCACTCACAGTCAAAACAAACTTTACAGTATTTCTGCAGATCTGTCTTACTAATTGCTTCCAACTTGCACCAAATCTTACTCCAAAGCCTGTGCCCACACCTGCCAGCACGAGGAAATGCTGCAAGACCAAGCACATCCTGTGTGGCCAGCACCCTGTTCAGACAAGCCAAATTATTCATGGAGCAGTGAGGATCCCACATCTTCCTTCTGCTGCCAAAGCATGGGGCTTCAGAAAGGGCCTTGCCAGTGCTAGGTAAGTGGCACAACTATGTCCAAAATCTTTCATCCACACTTACTGTTAGCTCACCTTGTCTTTTTAAATGGCACAATACCCCAACCAGCCTCACCATAGCTCCAGACCACTCTCTCTAGTATTACTTTTTTCACCAGCTGTCCCCAGTTTTTATTTCTGCACCTGACTTCCCTCCATTATTTGCAGTACTTCTCACTTATTTTGCCCACAATTAATTTTATGATTCACATCTGTTCCATAAATGTGTTAAGATTAAAGTACTACTTGCCAAAGCTTTGCAGTTTGATGTTATTCACAAACACAGTCTTTTAAAATTGTTAATGGATATATCCAATACTAGGATAGACTCTTATTAGACACTAATTAATAAATGCTGTCATTGAAAAACTGTACTAAAAAAGCAGTTGCCCAATTTATACTGTAAGTGTTGCTCCAGCAGCCTCTTGTAATATAAATTAGATGGTTAAGAAGGTCATGTGAAATACGGATTTTTGTTCCATTTCCCACTTTTTTTTCTTAGGAGTTTTTTGCCTCTTGGGACAGAAAATTGGCCTGGGTTGATACTTTACCTAATGCTTATTTTGTTATCCCAGACATTTCATCTGTTACTGTATCTTTCTGATGCCATCAGCTTAAAATGCCTGATCTATAATTCCCCTGATGAGCTGAGCACTTGCAGCCTTTGACAGGGCAGTTGCAAACAGGGATTCTTTTCACTCAGGGTTCTCAGACCCAGCACTTGCTCTTACAGGAGAATAATAAAGTCAGCAGGCTCTGCAGCCTGCTTTTGTTCCTGATTGTTCCCCTGTGAAACTGCCAGTGGCATCTCAAGTTTATACAAGGGGAAGACTCCCAGGTGGTGGTAAACACAGCCCTGAAATGTCAAATACTTTATTTCCAGGAAAACAGGAGAACACAGAACACACATGACAGAGACTTTCTGTCACCCTCCAGCTGCTCACTGTGGTTTCCCACAGTGTGGGCAGCCTGGCTTGTGGCTGGCACCTTTCTGTGGCCCCCCTGTCACTTGTCTGTGGTCAGGGGCATCAGCTGCACCTTTCCTTTCTGCCAAATGAGTCTGCAGAGACTTTTTATGGAGCCCATGTGGCATTTTTGGTGACACTGACAATGTATTAGGGATGAAAGGTCTTCTTTTCTGAATAACTTAGTTCCTCTGGGGACAGCTGCTGGCACATCAGCCAAACATGCCCTTCTCTGGGCTACCCTTCACCTGCATCTCCTGTGAACACCCTAAAACGATTGCTAATGGCTCAGACCTCACTTCAGCTTAATTCATTACCTGTCCAATGGTCTGAAGGAGGCAAACGAACCCACTGGTGACACATGAGAAGGGTTAGAGCTCAGCTGCCCTTTCTATGGCACATCTGCTCTGTCAAGTTAACAGGAGTTTAAGAAAGAGGGAATGTGTATTTTTGCTAAGTCAGTAACACAGAAAGGTGTTAGTGTGAGTACACACACACTCAAACAAAGCACTGCTGGTGTTCAACAGCAGCAGGGTCTTTAGTGCCACTTTCTAGAGCAGAGATACACTGCAGCAAACAAGGCTGGCCCGGGTGAAACACTGTGTTTACCTCCTCTTTTTAAGAGCAGGAGGATAACCAAGCACAGGGGGAGCAGCAAATCCCCCCCTTACCTGAGTGGTCTTGTTGATGTACCGGCGTATGATGTCCCTGATGTTGCTGTTCTTCTCTGTTTGGAAATACACCGTGGCGGTGGATTTTTCCTTCAAGTAGGGCTTGTCAGCTGTAATCCATGTGTGCAGCAGGGCCGGCTCGCTGCTGTCAGAAATGGTGGGGAAGTAGGTCCCCGAAGGGAGCGACCCGGCATCGTTCTGCTTGGGCGCAGCCGCCCCCTCGGGGGCCAGGGACTCCTGTGCATAGTAGGACTCCCTGGCGTTATCCTTGATGTATTTGGCTTCCACCGAGGACAGGAAATCCACCTCCCCCTCTTTGCTTAAAGTCTCGAGGTAAGAATCCGTCCCGCCATCCAGGAAGGCGTCGGTGGCCAACCTTACGCTTTCGTTGTGGCTGAAGTCCACCTTTGTCAGCTTCAGGGACTGGTTCTTGATATCCTCCAGCCTTTTCCTTATCTTGCCCATGTGTCTGGAGTGGCTCATGGCTCTGTGTCTCAGCAGCCGGTCGGCCGGGCTGGCAGCCCGGGAATGGGCGGCACAGTCATCCTGCCTGCTCGGGGGCTGCATCCCGGCGTGAAACCGCCTCCCCGCACGGATTAACTGGGAACAAAACCAAAAGACATCTTATTACCTCCGGCAAATTCACACTCCCTGATTTCCTTAATCTTCAAAAACAAAAACAACCAAAAAAAAAAAACCCACAAACAAAAAAACCCCAGACGAACCCGAAGCTTGTGTCTCAGCTGGTGGTGAACTTCAGCAGCAACCTGTTTCCAGATGGGACTCAAGCGTAAAGTTGATGAGATTGCTTATCTGAGAAGCACCCACCTCACCCCCGGGGCACGCGAAGGATTCGAGTCCAATTACCGGGGCTGTCCGAGTTGGTTGTGCTTCCCTTCCTGTCCCATCCTGAGAAATGAGAGCGAGGAAAGCACTCAGGCAGGAGCAGGTAGGATCCCAAGCATCGTTGCACAACCTTCAAAACAGCTCGAGGCTTCTCATGGTTCTCGTCAGGGAGCAAAAACAATCGTGACACTGAACTGGTTGGGGGACATCAGCCATGTCTACAGCTTCAGCACAGCAGAAGGGGGCACGGACTCTGGGCTGCACCTACCTGCTGCCAGGAAGGCTTAAAAATAGACTTGAACTCTGTCACTGTGCCCCTTCCCTGGTGTGTTGCTATTACCAGGGACGATTCACTCATCTATTTCTTTAAAGCTTTGTGACTACGCCACCCTATTAAGAGAAAAATACCCCTTCCCAAACATCCTGCGTATTATGGGGAGGAAGGGTTGTGAGCTGGCCTCAAAGCATCAGAAATACAAACAGTCATCACTTGATTGTGCGCGTTTAGGGCTGTTGGGTTGGTTTCTTTCTTTCTTTTTTTTTTTTTTTTTTTTTTTTTTTTTTATTTTTTTTTAAAAAA